ATGAAGACCACTAATGCCACAGATGCCAGCCACCTAAAATTTGCAGCTATTTCTAAAGCTCATCTAGCTCCAGGCCTTCACCAATTCCTGGCAAAATTGGGGGGAAGGATTCAAATTTTTAAGGATCAGAACAGGATTCAATCAACAATCAGAGGGGGAATGGGATAAGATATTTTATTCATTTGTTTGCCCATTTAATTTACATGCCATCTGAAATAACCCTGGGCAACTTTTAAATAAAAACCAATTCATTAAAAGAAAAATACAATAAAAAGTTCGTATTTATACAAATACAATCTGTATAAATGATGGCTACTCCTATGTTACCAAAAAGAGGAAATGTATCTCCAGAAAAAATGGCTGAAGATACAGTTTTGCATAAGCTAGCACATGAATACAGATGGATTCTTAAAAATTGAGAGAATACATAGTAGGGAAGCCTGTGGTCCAATCACATGCAACTATGTAGCCCAGATGCTAAGTAATCAGTGATGGGTTTCCATTTTTTTCCCTACCAGATCTATGTGCGGTTTTATGTGCGTATGCTTCTCGTGAGGTATGGCAATCTGTTCTGCCACGTGAATCAGCTAAGCTAAAAAACAAGGGCATATAGGAGAGGTAGCGGTGGGGGCCGGTGGGCAGGGCCATCCAGAGGTGGTATTTGCCGGTTCTCTGAACTAGTCAAAATTTCCGCTACCAGTACACCAGAACTGGTCCAAACTGGCTGAATACCACCTCTGTATGTAATGATGGAAAGTTTTAGGATTCCTGCTGCTCTTTGGTCTGTTCATTCACTGGATCTTCTTTAAGTTCTAGAGTATTATTACTAGAACTCTGATGAGTTACTGAATCACAAACCATGATACCTGAAAATTCTCTTTCTTCTTGCATTAAACAGTTTTTCCTCACAGGCTTTAACTTGTCTTTCTTTTATGCCTCCACTCCCTTTCTAACATAGACAATATAAGTGTATAAGTGATAGTTGCATTGAAAAATCTTGAAAAGTAGTATTTCTCTGCCAACATCATCTTATTCTAAAGATAGGGCTACAGTCTATCTTGCATATCAGTTTATTGCATACATCAGACTAAACCAACCAATTTTAACTTGGTACAACTCACAGAATTCCTATCCAGCATCAAGACAACCATTTTTTTTTTAAAAAAAGGCTGCCCTACCCTGTATGCAGATAATACGAGCCCTACAGTTCCTGGAAAAATAGGGGTAGTCTAAGTCATTTCTTAATTGAAATTCCACAGGGCTTTATATTATGTCATTCCTTTACATTTAATCATCAAGGAACAAGAACTGTCGGAATTCCAGGGAAGGTAATGTTCTGGCAAGAAATATCATGAGACAATAACTTTAATATTGTAATATCAATTTCAATCCTTAATACAATTTTATAACATAAAAAAGATGTATAAAAAGATGAATGAGTAATAGGAAGCAGGTAACAATGCCTAGATGTTTTTGGCTGATTCCCCCAATACTTTAACAGAATTGGAACTGGACCTACTTGGATGGAAGATCACCAGGAGATATGAGGCATAAATAAGCTAGAGACAAGTTGAAGACAATCTCAGAAGGCAGTAGCAAATCATGTCCATGTTATTGTTAAGAAATCTGCATATTTATGCCCATATAGTTACAGAAGAAAAGCTCAACTTTGGGGGAATACTTATTTTGACAGGAAAATGATTAATGCTTTCATGGTTTCCAAAAGAGAATAAAGGAGAAATCACCAGAGCAACTTCCAGTTCAATAGTTCAACAATGATATCTAGACAGACATAGATGGTAGAGCTATATAAGTAGCTATAGGAAAGCAGAATATGCAAACGGGCTAAGGCACTTGAAGAAAAAAATTAATATTTTATGTATACTTTAATTACAATTATTCATTTCAGATCTGTTCCAAACTAGCAAAATATTCTGCCATTCAATGAGATTAATTAAATGTGGATAAATTAAATTAAGCCTTATTAACTAATGTCACTCTAATGTTGACATCATCAAAACACAACTGCCAATCAGTTCCTCTGCTTACAGTCTGATTAATCATATGAAACTGATCTCTATATAAGCAATTTTTGGGGGGTAGGGGTAATGGCAGAAGTAATTTAGGTTTATATAGCTCTTTTCAGAAATTTACTGTTTAATCAAAATGGGGGGAAGTAAAAACAGATAAATTTATATTTAATTTCATGCTTGTTTTAAAATAGCACATTTTAAAATTTGGAAGGGCAGCCAACAAAGTGGGATCCTGCCTCAACTACAGTCATTGACAACAATTTAGAGATTCCTTCTGATAGAAGTGATCATTATATATGCTGCATAGAGAGAGAGAGAGCACATGATTACAGTAGTACTAAAAATGGTGTTAAACTTCATCATCTCTTACCCCAACCCCAAATAATGAACCTGTAAGAAGCAAGGCTAGAATAATTCTCACAAAGAACAATGAAGGCAAATGTTCCTTATCTTGGTCCAATCAGTATACCTAGTTCCACGCCTCAAATAAGCTAATGATAATTAGAAATACTCTATTCACTATCCATAGTTGCCTTTGAATTTTCATCAAATTTAATAGGTTTTCACTACTCAATTGGTTGCTTGTTTTTATTTTTTTTGCAGCACAGAAATAGCTTTTATCCACCACCAACAAAGTATCTACCAACTTTTTCTGAACAATTCTGAAAGAATTTCAGGTTGTCTAGAATATCAAGCAAGACAGATCCTGCTATATTTGTATTCTATCACATCAAGAGTCCCTTATCAAATATGTCAAGTATTTCCTCCTAAATATTATACTCTATAATGTTTTTGAAGGAAAACTGTAGTCAAGGAAGAAGAAAATCAGCAAACAGAGAAGTTACACAATCCTTGTAGCTATGATAATAGCATATATTTTGCTGACGTGCCAATAAATGCAAACCAGTAATACTGAAAGCATTAATTACTATAATATAATGACAGTAGAATAATGTATGAACTTCCTAAATATCTGGTTTAAAAATGTAGATTTAAAATAGATGTTAATCATAGTTGTTTCTTTGAGACAGAGCATACTGTGGCACTGACTGACACTGCTGAGAACAAATCAACCATCAGAAATTAGCATTTGTAACCATCATGAGTAATTATTAGCCCAAACTTGAAATAAAAACATGTACTAGAGCTGGTGGAGACCCCTAGGAATGTACAGGTTTCCAGTATGGGGAAATCTATATTCAGGTCATTTAAAGAGCAAGAATCCAAGTGTGCAGTTTAATTCATCATAAAACCAATCAGTTAGCTTCCATGGAAAACAAATATTAGTGTGTGGGTCAAATAAATCTGGTATGGTTAGTGCCTCCAAGTTCATTCTTCAAAGAATTGTGGATTTAGACAACAATCAGCACTTGATTGGAATGTGATCTCCCAGGAGAGTCCATGCAAGCGGCTTTCCTTGGGAATCCGATCACTTGTTCAAGGCCTTATGGTTTATCCTTGGGTGTCACCTCAAAGGGGACACAAGGTTTATCTTCTCATACTAACTTTTAAGGGAAAGACCTTCTCCCATGCTAACCTGCTGAAGGCAGGAGACCAAAAAAAAAAGCGTCCTTCTTTGTAAACATGCTTTAAGTGGCCCTGGGCAACTAGTATTACTGAGCCTGAGTTCTCCAGTTTCAAGCTAAATAAGACAAGCCCTGAACAGCTGTCAAAGAGGACTAGGAACTGTGCTCCCAATGCCTCCTCTCCTTTCATGTTCAGCCTACCTCTTTGGTTGCTCACTGCGTCCATCCATATGGTGATAAAGTTAAATTTGCTATTCCTAAAAACATAGAGCCATGTGGAATTGTTGTATAACCCTAGATAAGATCTAGTCCCAATACCGTAAGTACCACTTCCTATCTCTAACATATGAGATATGTACAAATGAGTCCTCAGAGATGCATTAATTCTATTAAGATTATAATGCTACAACATCAGAAACCTAAGCCCCCAGTATTTTTCAGCCAACACATTGGTTTCATGCTCAGGCTATATAAGGATAAGTGATAATTGCCTAATGAGACACCATAGAAGAAATCTCCATCTCCTCACATTATTTCAAAACATAGCAAGCACCCAAACAACAACAACGTGCTCATTCTATAAGGCTGCAGTCTTCTCAACCTGCTATCTTCCAGATGTAATGAAACTGCTGTGATCAAAATCAAGGCACTTGCAGTCTCCACCGAATTCGGAGGGCATCAGACTGGAGAAAACTTTTGCACGAAAGCACACTGAAGTCAATGAAACCAAGTTGCATTATTAGCCAAGCAAATAATCAATCAGTCCTTTAATAACGGATATATCTGAGGAGGGGCTCTAAAACGAGGTTGGTGGGAACTCTTTTTCATCATCCTAAAGAAGACAGGTGAGCTAGCACCGGGCACCCACACTTTGTAAGAAATGGTTAGATCTTCGAAAGAAATCTACCTGCTCCTCTATTACATAGGATCGCCTTCTTGATTGATCAATATATGTTAAACCAGCTAATGAATTCCGTTTTGCAACCCTGCCCTATTCGTTGTAGTCTGTTCTCACAGGGAGTTGCCGCTCCCGGGACGGAGGGGCGGGGGGGGGGGACAATCCCCGGATGGGTTCACGTGAACCAGCCTCAAGGAACCCCATTCCCCCCCAGAGGTGACCACCGCAGCCTTTCAAGGAGTCGCACAAGAACTCCGAAAAAAAGTTAAGGCACCCCTCAGGTTTTACTTTTTTTTTTTGCTCCTAGTAAAGAGCAGTAAAAAGCATTCTCTCCTAGGTCTGGAATAGATCAATGGTACTACAACTCCCAACAGCCGTAGCGCGCTTGGCCAAGAATCAGTCCGAAGGGCGCTCGCAGTCCCGAAAGTTGACACCAAGAAACACAGTTGGGGGAGGCTTCTGTGCCCGCCGCGACGCCCCCCTCCGTCTGCCTCCAGAGCCGGGTGAGGAGGAGGGAAGAGGAGGAGGCTGCTTCAAACCCACCTGGACAGCGCGGACCAGTTCTTTCGGTTGAAGGACATGCTGCTTGCTGTCTCTCTCCGACGGGCTCGGACCGGGGCGGATGCTGATCTTGTCTACCGATAGACTGCTTTTTATTTTATTTTATTTTTTTCCAGGGAGAACTCTGCTAGGCTCCCGGGTAGCAGCGAGAAGCCCTTTGACGCCCCCCCTTCGCAAGAGATGCTGGCTGGCTGGCTACTTCGCTCGCTTCCTTGCTTCCTCTGCGCCTCGCAGCGCACCTTTACCTTGCGATGCCACCCGTCTACTGCAGGGTTGCCTGCATCACATGGTCTCTTATCTGCCTTGACAGGCTGGAACTGTAATTTGTCTATTAGCAGCACCTTGCAAAAGGCACCCTGCGAGGGTGGGACGTGACCCAGCCTGCGCACAAAGGCAGCCATTCTTTTATGCCCGGACTGGGGACGGATTTGAATTTAGCTCCGCTTTCGGGGCCAGGCGCCCTGGATTTTCGGGGGCAACTCCCTGCTTAGAACCTGTTTTTCCTGCCTCGGGTTTCTCCACGACTGTACAGGCAGAAGTGGTGAGCTCGGGAGAGGAAAAAGAAGAAGAAAAAAAAGCCCTTCCTTTAGCAAATTAACCCTATCTCAATCGCAGCTACCCAAGTGCAAGTAAGTCCATTTCTTATCATTTTCAGGGGGCTCGGTTTCTGAAGCCCCTTCCTCTGCTGCTGACAAGTAGATGATGAACCACTGTTGCTACATTTGCAATTTGGAGAAGTGCCTGTTTCCCCCTCACCTGGTGTCAGATAATGGCCATTTAGAAAGGGCCACTGCAGATCAGACATAAGGCTCCTTCCAATAAATCAGAGGGTTGATCCTGTTTCACCCAGTTAGGACTGAAAGCAGTGCTTCTGCTTTCAGGCAGGTGCTGGAACAGGGATTTTCTGCAAACAAAGCATCGGTTCTCGAATGGAAGAAGAGACTGCACAGTTCAACATCGTTTCACCTTGACCCCTCTTTTTTTCCAAAAATTGCAACTAGAAGAACAGTCCGAGAAAATAAGCATTCACAAAAATTCCCTAAGGAAGGGGAAGCCAGAGATGAGAGATTGATGTCAGCTGTCTCAAGTTTGCAGGTTTTTCTTGCAGCAAAGTTAGCATATGCAGAGAATTGGAAAAATAAAGACATCCCAAATGAATTGGAAATATTGAAGAAAATCACAATGTGCGCAGAAATGGATAAATTAATAAAAGAACTTAAAAATAAGGAAGATTTGGATTATTATAAATCATGGGAGAAATTTTATGGTTGGCTAGAGACGAGGAAGATCAATGAGAATAAGGAATGATTATATATTTTATTTAAAGTGTATAGAGGAGAATTATGTAATATTACTACTGGATTTAGCAAAGTAATGACAATGATTGATGTTAGGGAGACTGTACCATGTTCAACTTTTTTATTGTAAGAATGGTCCGTGTTTGTTTAATTGTTTAATAAAGAACTAAACATTTAAAAAAAAGTTTGCAGTTCTTTCTGAAGCCCATCTACAGTACCTCTGAGCCTTCTCTGGTGCCTGGCAAAATACAGGGAGGATACATTCAGATTGTGGTTGCTTAATAGCTTTTAAGGGCCAGAGCAGGCATCAATCAGTAGCAAGAACAGGGGATGTAATCAGATATTTATCACCAATATAAATAACCACTTATACATTATCAGAAAAAAAAATGTAGTTCCAGAAAGGTTGGCAGAAAACACAAGCCACTGCATTTTAAAGGCCCTCGCTGTTTTTCCCTTTGACTATTGGGAATCTTACTGGCAAGAGACACTGTATTGTCCCCACGATGTATCAGATCACCTTGTGATTAGAGAAGGTAGAAACAACTCCTAAATCTTTTCTACAATGAGCTGCTGCAATATCCCTTTATTGCCCCGAAAGGGAATTGTTGAGGCAAGCTGACACTCAATTAGAAGATGGCCCACTCACATGGGAAGATCACATTGAATGTGATTACAAAAATATTGCAGTCCAAACAACTAAATAGGCTCAGCAGCCAAAAGCAGACAGTGCTGTAAGTGATACTGAGCTCTGGTCTGCATTCCCTTCATGGCAGCTGCAGGGAGAAGAGGGGGAAGGTGTGGCAAATGATAGCACATGGATCACGATCTCCTTATATCGTTATGTTAATGAGGTGAGTTAAGTATTTGTGTTAGGTATTACACAAGTACTAGGTTGTATCTTTGTATGATTCCATGATGTTTTCAGCACATCAACCCAACCATGGCAACAATGTAATTATTTAAACTATGCAAAACAATGAATGAATCCTAATCAGTGACTTCACACTATAATTTCCCAACATTTCCTGTAGCAATTCAATTATACCATAGTTGGAATTCAGGCAACAACTGGAATCACATCTCCATTATTTACAGGAGCCTCTGTGGCGCAGTGGTTAGAGTGCAGTACTGCAAGGTACTTCTGCTGCAACCAGGTGGGATTTGGCAGTTCAAATCCCACCAGGCTCAAGGTTGATTCAGCTTTCCATCCTTCTGAGGTGGGTAAAATGAGGACCCAAATTGTTGGGGCCAATATGTAAACTGCTTAGAGAGGGCTGTAAAGCACTATAAAGCAGTATATAAGTCTAAGTGCTATTGCTATTTATGTTTATTTCCTTATAGATTGTATTCCTAGGGAACATTCATGCCCATAGTTCTAAAAATATTGTTGTCTCTCCATCCATCCAGGCTTATTCCATCCTCAGATACACAGAGAAAAGTGGCTATGCATGGATAACCTGTGATTTGAAAAGGGAAACCTATTATCCAGCAAATCCTGAGAAACTCATAACTTTTTCTTTTCTACTCAGCTAACCAAATATGATTTGAAGAAAGATCACCTGAGACAAGACGATTCAGACTTGGCACTTAAAATATAAGTGACCAGTACTATATCTTGCACATGTATATATGCATGGATACAATGATCTGTGTCTTTTTTCTGAAAGAATCCATGGATGTCAAAACATTTTGAGCAAAAATAAGAGAAAGAGAGCAAGACCAAGGAAAGCCTATTTCTAGTTTCCTCATCAGCAAAATGCAAGTTGTACTTGTTTCATTTCCATTGCTGATTAAATAATTCTTGACATTCATTTATCCTAAATCTGAGGTCTACAACCAAATGTGGGTGAGGGCACATTTAGCCAACCAGCCCACAGTAAGTTTCCTGGACCAACAATCCCTACCAGAGGTGGTATTCAGCAGGTTCTGACCAGTTCTGGAAAACCGATAGCGGAAATTTTGAGTAGTTCGGAGAACTGGCAAATACCACCTCTGACTGGCCCCGCCCCCATCTATTCTCTGCCTCCCGAGTCCCAGCTGATTGATTGGATCTTCTTTTGTTGCCCTGCAAAGGAGAACAGAGCTGGAAAGCAGGTTAGTAGGGTGGGGGGGAATGGAATTGTGCAACCTTTCTCCAGGAGTGGGGAGGGAATGGGGATTTTACAGTATCCTTCCCCTGTCACACCCACCAAGTACTCACTTAGGTGACTTTTCTTATTTGTTTACATTTTGGATTATTTATTTAAAAATAATTATAGTACTTAGCACTTGTCATACCTTTTGATTGGGACCAGTATTTTCTGCCTCCCACTACCACCTCTAGGTTTGTTACTGAAAGGAAAGGGTAGATATTATATTTTTTGTGTTTTTCAAATGTACTAAGTCTCTTTTAGGGTTTGTTTCATGGTTTTTGTGAGAGGAAACTATGCTACTGTTTTTTAGCTATTGTGACTGGAGGGGATCTAAGAATCACTGGGCTTTACACATTGCTGTGGGCTTTGGTTTTTCAACACCAGCTTCAATCAAAGTGCATTATAGATCATATATAAGGTAGAAAGGAGTATAGGTAGTCCTATGCTTACAACCATTCATTTGAAGTTACAATGGCCCTGAAAATAGTGATTTATGACAGGTCTCAACACTTATGATTGTTACATCATCTCCATGATCATGTGATCAAAATTCAGTTGCTTGGCAACTGGCATATATTTATGATAATTGCAGAGTCCTGGGATTAACATTCCAAATTGACTTCCAACAAGCAAAGTCAATGAGGGAAGCCAGATTTGTTTAATGACTGCATGATTCACTTCACAACTCTAATGGTTCCCTTAACAACCAGGGCAGAAAAGTCATAAAATCAGGTGTGAATTCATTAACCACCTTGCTTAGCAACAGAAATCCGGGTTCCAATTGTAGTTTGTAAATTGAGGATTATCTGTATCAGGAGATAAAGAGGAGGGCTGTCAAACTCCTGGCCTGTGGGCCAGATGCATCACGCACTGGCTACGCCCAGTTTAGCGAAGGGGGAAAAGGTCCTGATATGTCACGTAAAGCCGCTGTGACAACATGAGTTTGATACCCCTGATATAGAGAAAGCCTAGTCTCCTTGACATTTTCTGCTTATGCTCATAACATAATCCTCCCAGAAGATTACTAGCAAGAGCACAATTTGCTTAACATCCAAAGGAATCTGGAGGCCCAACTAGACTTAATCAAGACCTAGTTTCATCTACCCTGATAGTCAAAGCAATAAGTAAATTCAAGTCCCAGGTGTTATTTTCAGCAATTTTATTGTATGAATTGATTATCTAAGTGTGGTTCCCAGCAAAATCTTCCCTGTCAGTGACGAAGCTGCAGGGGTCTGGCTCAGGAACTCCTGTGAACCAGCCAGATTTCCCTTTCACAATATATTCCTTGCTGTTACCTCCCTTATTTTTCTTTCCTGCATTTAATTTTCTTATCCAATAAACCTGAGCGACTGGTTGGTTTGGAAGCAATCTCCCATCCCTTGGGCGGAAAAGGAGGGGGACTTCTCTTGTTGTTGACAGTTGAATGCAGACGGTTAACATAGCATTACTTTAATGAAAGGTTCCTACCTGCAATTAACCTGGGAAATAATAAATCAGTCAAAAGCCCTTCTCCTCCATTTTTAACCAGCTTTTCTTTGTAATCGGCTTTTAGCAATGTTTCATTAATGCAGAAAAGTCAGTGCCTTTGTAAGAGTGGGGGCGGGAGAATAGTAAACACCTTGTGCCATCATGTGCCCACCATTAGCAGGACCTTAACTCCAACTGATCCTGGAGTTAAGGTCTTAATCCAAGAAGTTTGAAAGTCATTGCCATAGGATATAGCTGATGCTCCAGCTGAAATCTTAGCAGATCTTTCAAAGGAATTAGCCATTGTAGGGACAAATGGAAACAGCTACAGACTGTACAGACAGTCTTAAGGATAAAAGGCTTCATTCTTCAGGGATTAGCTATAATAACACCAATTCAGAGAAACAACTATCTCTCTTCCTTGTTATTTT